TTCTCTCCACAGTAAATAAGAAGTCAAAACCCACCCTTGTTTCTAAGGTAAAACGCAATACAAATATGAAACAGACTATAGCTTAAAAACTAGTTAATCAATAATTCATTTGTCACCAAAAAATACGGTTTCACATCAAATATCAAATAAAATTACTGTTTTTGACACTTTTTGAGCACTATGATAAAGAAATGTCGACGCTGTATAGGTTGAAATAAACAATTAATTTCCCCATAGGCGACAATGATAGCCTTTTTCGAGATACAGACTTAAGAAAGTTTATTTTTTTAACGAAACCTTGCTAGAATTAAAGAAAAGTTATTAGGACAGTATTTTTTGGTGAATAAAAAAAAGGGTGTGACTGTGAACGTGTACATTTGTAGAGTGCAAACAGACCCAGGGGCGAACATGTGGGGTGCAATGTGTATGGTGTGAATGTGTATTGGGCGTGAATGGACCCAATACCGTGGTGGGTACACCAGGCAGTGTTGATATCCTTTATACCAGTATCTTGAAAAATTGAGTTTATACTGGTTTGTGCACAGAATTTTTTTCACTGTAAATTGTTTCCTGCACATGCACACAGTTGCCTACAGTAATAGTTGCTAAACCGTATTACACTATAAAAGAAGTGGTACTCCAGATCCTGGAGGGAAGAATAGAGAAGAAGAAGGTGGGCTACACAGGTTTGTAACAATTTGCAAATTGTAACAAACCACTGTCGGTGGGCATTAAAAAATAGGACAGGTAATGTTAACGGAAACACCGTCACGGGTATTTTTTAAGGCTTAAGTAGTATTTCAAAGATACGTAAATTCATACCTGTTCCCAAATTTCTAATAATTATGATGGATCTAAACGTCTATAACATAGTATAACTCAATATTATTTTTACTCTTTGCATACGATCATTACTTCCGGATGCCATATGTGCACTACGTCACCATTTATTGGGTACTATGATATAACTAAGAACCGAATGCTTATGGCAACGGAAGATCGCATTGTATTTTGACGAACCCATTTTTATACGCCCGTTTACGGGACGTATTATGATATACCGTTATCCGTCCGTCCGTCCGTCCGTCGTCAACATGTCGGACAATAACTCAAAAACGCTTTAACTAATTTGCATTAAACTTTGGTAAATTGTTTATAACTATTGACGTGAGCTCCCTTTCGATTTTTATAAATTTTAGATTTTACGTTTCCGAGTTATGTGGTGTTGTTCATTAAAAAAGGAGATTTTCCAGTTTTCTGACAATAACTCAAAGGTGCTTTGAGCAGTTTTCATGGAACTTTGAGCAGTTTTCATGGAACTTTGGTGACTGTCGGTTTATATCTAACCTCCCTGTATTTTTTTTATATAAATTTCTGACTCACGCCGGGTATGACATTGAGTAGTTATGGAACTTTATTCTTTGAAAAAGCGACGGGCGTATCATGCGCTCATGGCGCAGCTCTTTATTCTTTTTGTTTCCTCTCTGTGTTTGTTTGATTCATTGTTTATTCAAGTTTGTTTGTTTTGCTTTTTATGTAATCATTTTATTTGTTTCAATAATCTTTGATTAATTATTTTAAGGTGGATCATTAATTGGTACATATTTCCTCAGATAGAATTTTCTTATACTTTTCCAGAATGTAGGTTTTTCCATGCTATTTTCAAAAATACAATAAAAGTATGGGTCACCGTGCTTTTTTTCAAGCTACAAGTCTTGCAAAATTGCCCAAATTTGCATGGACTGTTCACCATGTTCACGGAAAAACATTTTTTTGCGAATAAAAAGAAATCTATGAGATCGATTTTTGAAATAAAACACGAGAAGCTAGGTAGTAAAATATGCTTTAAGAAAAATAAAAAAATGGTGTCACCGACCTTTTTTTGCTACAAGTAAAAATTGAAAATTTCTAAATATATTCCTTTATAAAAAAATTTACTATTTGAGTTATCTCCCCTTAGATGGCAAAGTTAACAATTTGGTTCGAACAAACACAAATATTTGGTATTTGATAAATCAGTTTAAATAATGTAGTAAATCACTTATTTTCCTTCATTCCAATAAACAATATAACCCTTTTTGCCAATCTGTCTCAAAATTTGTAGGTTTAAGTAACGAAATAGACCTATTGTGAACTGCTATTTTTCAACACAAGATGACGGTATATACTAGTAGTTAATTATTATCTACCTTAAAAACATTGACCTGGGCCCACATGTACTTCAACGGTTTCTCAGAGATTGTTTTAATCAATATACCTTTACATTAAGGTATATAGTAAAAAAACTTCAGAGACAAGTGCCTGTGCCTGGCCCAACGGTATAAACTTGAGTGTTTTTAAATCATAATGATCCGTGAATGGTAGACACACTTATTATAATAGAATAATTAAAAAAAGGATGTTCTCGTACATGATATAAGTGTAAAAACGTCTATTGGTTTATGAGATTTGAACAGCGGTAAATTGTAGCCTCTTCTTTAAAACCATGACTATCGGGCACATGCATAAATTTTGTATCATGCAATGGTAAAGAGCCACCATGCCCTATTTCTTTCCATAAAGAGACATGAGTAGCTATAAGAAGATATGGTATGAGTGCCAATGAGACAACTCTCCATCTAAGTCACAATTTTGTAAAAGTAAACCATTATAGGTCAAAGTACGGCCATCAACACGGAACCTTGGCTCACACCGAACAGCAAGCTATAAAGGGCCCCAAAAATGACTAGTGTAAAACCATTCAAGCAAGAAAACCAACGGTATAATCTATATAAAAAACGAGAAACACTTATGAACCACATGAGGCCTATAATTACGACCTCATAAACACATGTCTGTGCCTTCATTTATCAATCAATCATCAAATTTAGCAAAGGATTGATTATCGTGCGCATAGGCGCTTGGTGAATCCCTTTTTCTTTTATTTTTTTTTAACCATTTTCTTATTTTACACAGTGGAAAGTACAAAGAAGGGCGCGGCAAAATATCTAAACCGACTACTGTTATTGTAAGAGCAAGATGACCTTTTTTAAATAAGTGAAGATAAGTTTTAAAAATTAAAGAATATTTACTTAAAACCCCTCCGCCTTGGGAGAACCACAGAAAAAGAAACAAATCCTGACAGTGATGTTCCGTGTCATGAGAAAACCACAACATAATGAAAAAAATAATGACAGTGATGTTACGTGTCATGAAAAAACCACAGAACAAAATGAAAAAAATCATGACAGTTTTGTTCCGTGTTATGAGAAAACCACAGAACAGAATGAAACAATTCATGACAGTGATGTTCCGTGTCATGAGAACACCACAGAACAGAATGAAACCAATCATGACAGTGATGTCCCGTGTCATGAGAAAACCACAGAACAGAATGGAACAAATCATGACAGTGATGTTCCGTGTCATTCCGAGTGTTGTTGTAGTATCAAGAAATTGAAACGAAACTTCACAGATGTATTACACTGTGAATTAAGGTCCATCTCAAATTAGTGTTTCTTTGGTGCCGATGGGAATTTCAAAATGGCCAACAGCGGAGTTCAACATTACATGGAGAATTTTTTCTTATTTTTAAAGATCAGATGAAGTGAAATGAATTATAAAACCAATCATACAGCAATATTTCCTTGAAGATACTTATAAATTACCAAGTGTTGTTACTTTCATTAGGGCTTCATGGAGTGAAAAAGGAGTCCAATTGTCGAATTTTCAAAGATAATTTTCTCTAGTACATCTTTAGTGATTGGAACCTAATTTGCCAGATATATTTTTCAGAAGATCCTTAAGAAGTGTTGTTACTTTGACAATGTTTGTGCTGCTTGAAAATCAAAAAAGGCCTCCATTCAAGGATTAACCCACCATTAATTTTCTTCGGGAAATGTCTGTACCAAGAAGGAATATGACAGTTGTTTTTCACCTGTTCCGTTGATTGATAGCGTTTGATTTTGTCAGTTTTTATCAATCTAATTTAAATATAGATCTCCGATTTCGTTATCTTCTTATATATACGAGCACGAGTTGATGTAGATATGAATTTTAATGAGATTGAGTTTTTGTGGAATTCCGCTTTTTGAATTTGCGTTGGAGTTCGGTATTTTTGTTATACTTTTAAGCAGCAGTGATTTACATTTTCTTGTTGAAGTAATGGGTCACCATGTTGGCAACCGTATTGTGCAGGTTTTTTTTATTGTGTTCTTTAAGTTTACGACATATGGTTCAGGAAAGCAGAGGGGAGATTTGTGCGCATTTAAACAAGTTCGACATCACCATGTTCACTTGTTGTTCCTGTACCAAGTTTGGCTATTTTGACTATTTGCAGGCTACTTCTTGTTGTTTGAATGTCTGTTATTCGGATGAGATTGATATATACCTCATTTGTGTAGCCAATTACTCCTTCATTAGGCAACCAAGATACCTGAAACGTCACAGAAAGATTGCACACAATGTCATGTGGAAGTTGTGCACCTGCTATTATGGAATTGTTTTATGGATTTTTTCACATATTTCCAGAGTAAGAAACCAAAAATTAGGAGAAGTGATATGATTGCCAATGAGACAATTAACCACAAAAGTTCAAATGAAGTGGATGTAGGCAATTATAGGCAACCGTACGGCCTTCAACAATGAGAAAAAACCAATACAGTATAAACAATTCAATTGAGAAAACTAACGGACTAATTCATAACAAAGCAATTTACAAAAAAAAACAAATATGACAGACAAACACTAAACTACAGACTCCTGACTTGGGACAGGATCATAAAGAATGTGGCGGGGTTTAACATGTTTGTGAGCGCTAAACCCTCACCCTAACCTGGGACAGCGGCGTTACAGTACAACATAAGAACAAACTGTAAAAATCAGCTGCATTTGGCTCAACACAAAAGATCGGTACGAGGCACAAAAACAACTAACATAAAAACAATAGACAAAAACACCGAAACAAGAGTACTCGTAGTTAATGAAAGTTAGTTCAAAGCCAATTAAAACTAATAAATACATCAGGTTCTCTCAAGCTAAAGTATTAATTAGTCCTTTTTTTATTGAAAAAATTACAAAAACGTCACAGAATAATGGCACATATATGTTGAGTGTATGCAGCTGCTATAATGGAATTATTTGCGGATTTTTTTTTTCTATTTTCCAGAGTAAGGAACTTTGTCATTTTGAGCACAATTTACAAAAGACAGTACCAATTTCGTGTAATCCACTCCTTCTACATTTTTTTCAATCCAGATCTCTGAAAATTTACAGAATGATGGTACCCATATTGAAGTAGTCCACCTGCTATTATGTTATTATTTTTGAATAATTTTTTTCCCATTTTGGCAAAATCGTGAATTTAGTGATTTTTCAGCAAATCAAAAGAAGGTAACACTTTTTGTTTTGAATCAAGATCTTTGAAACTTCACAGAGAGTTTGCAAACCTATTGAGGTTGTACACATTACATTATGGAGTTGAAAAAGATTTTCCCTCATATTTTTATTTCAAATTTTCATACGTATAAATATTCAGCTTAGACCATTCTCAAATGCTATCTCCGCAACCCATCCATATTTGAGTTATTCGTCCATTTTTTTTTATTTTTTATTTTCTTATAAATACAATTCCAATATAGAAATTATGATGAAGACTAACAAATATTTTGGATTTTGGTCCTATATTGGCCTTAGATACATAATGGCATAGGGATCGCCAAACTAAATACTGAGGTCAATTAGGTTATTATTTTTTTCTAAGGAACATAATGTTAAAATATATGTTTGCACAATATGTCCAAAGTCCTAAAACACCAATGAAAATGGCCCTTTTCATTGAAGTTGGTAGAAAGTTAAGTTTAAGCTTATTTTTACGTCATAAAAAAGAATGCGGATACGTAAATAGTAAAATAAGAAGATGTGGTATGATTACCAGCGAAACAACTCTTCACCAGAGACCAAATGATATAGAAGTTTAAAGTTTAGTCATTGTAATGACTGTGATTCAATATGATAATGGACATTGAATCCTAATTTGATTTTTTTTCCAGAAATAAAGGCCATATCGAGATCTTATCTCTTAAATTACATTGTTCTGTAATTTTGTTGCCAAAATATGATAGCTAAATTTAATACAAAAATGAAATAAATGTTCCATTCTCAATTTTACTGTAAACGTTCATTTAAATGTGACTGAAGATGATGATATCAAATTAAGGCAACCCTTTCTGTGTTTTTGCTGCGGTAAATTAGAAAGGCGTAAATGTTGCAATTCTACAAAACGTACACGGTTACAAATAGAAATACATTTCTTTTGTAAAACAGTGTTCAAAAACAACTGGAACTTTTCTCCCCTCCATTCCGTTAGGATGCGTTGAATCGGAACTCTTGGTCTCAAAGTACTTTGAAACGTAATGAGTCATATCGTTTAAAACACATGTTATATCTATGCAGTTTATCTTACTACACTCTATAATTTTTATTTGTTTCGTTATTGCTGCGTTTAAAGAATATAACATCCATCCACCAACGCGTTCTCTTCCAAAAGAATTTTTCTCTGCAGAAAAAAGAAAGAAAATCAATTGAAACACCTAAATATTTAAGATATGATATATGTAACTGTTATATATTCGAATTCCCTCGATGTTTTTATTAATGTATTTATACATCCTTTGTACATCATTTTGTTTGTCTGTTGAATATTTTACGTTTCACGTTGAAGTTAGATGTTTGGTCGTCTGCTGGGTCCAATCACAACGCGATAAAAACCTAACAAAAGGCAAGGAGTTCGTTGTTAAAAAAAATAACATACTGAAATGTTAACATGGTTAATGACTTTCGAGTATTTTTTCTCTCTTAAGATTTTTTGTGAATGAGTCTAACATTCGTGCCTATTGAACAACTTCTTGAATAATTTGTGGCAGATGTACAAATGTAGGTTAACGAATACTTATTTACCATGTTTACCTTTAAGAAATATATTCACCAGTTCTATGATTGAAATACTTATTTGAGCACCGTCTGAATACATAAAGATGGATATTGGTCATAAAAATCTTCACAACAACATGTCTTGCGTCATACACTTGTTCCATACATATCGTTTAGATGTTATGCTGGACATATTGTGATAACGAATGGTTAAAAGATCTGTTTATTTAAACCAAGATGTCGTTAAATGAAATTGGATACCCTGCATTTATCATGCTTTTCTATAACATGCCATCAAATCGCTGAAAGACCCCCTCCTAAATTATTGAAAACTATCATTCTGCATTGACAATAATATCTTGGTGTAAATTAGATACACCTATTCGGGCTAACGCCCTCAAGTTGTATCTAATACTTATTGACATAAATGATACAATAATACCTGAAGCTGTTGAATAAACGACGAGGCAATCATCTGCACACGGTGGATCTACAATACGTATGATCTCTTTTGGCTTATTTTTATTGTAACCAAACATCTTTTTCGTCATGTTCAGCGCTTTTTTGAAACTGAATTCCGCTGTGTCCTGGTCTTTCGACATGTTTCCAACCGTATCATTGTCGGTAGGTTTACTTGCACTCGACGACAGAGAATTTGACGATGTAGTTTTGTTTGTTTGATTTAAAGAATTCTTTACGATATTCAGAACTAAAATTTCATGCCCATGTTCACTGCAGACCTCGTCCGGAATCATCTTTGACCGACATGCCTACAAAGGAAAGCTAGCTGTTCAGCTTATTAAACTGAATGTTTTATTATTAGAATTATTAGCCAAATCCATTGCAGAATCATACTTCATGCTACTAGCAATTAATGCACGGACTGAAAGAGCACACATGTTAAACGGTCTAGAAACACATTTTTTTTTATCTTGTAGAGCGAAACGGCGTGAAATAGCAGACTTTTAATGAAAAAGCAAATAAGACAGGAATTATATGCACTTGTGCATGTTTAATTTAAATGAAGAAAAGTTATGAGATTTTATCTTATTATAACGTCTATTTTTACAAATACAGAATATTTGTTTGATTGATTTTTCCATTGGCATTATAGGGGAGATAATTCAAATGATTCTTAAATTCTCATAAAAGACTATGTTTGAACTTTCATTTTTTTTTAAATTAATTAATTTTTGAACTTTGAAAGGTAGAACAAAAATGTCCTACATTATGGAATACATCATAACTATGGCAGTGGCATAGAATTAGTCTTACAAAGTTAACGCAACTATTTCAATTTGTACTTCAACATCTCTGTTTGCTAAATCTAATGTTTGCTGAACTATACTCATGCAAAAGGCGCGGCATCATCTCTGCAAAGTTTCTTTTAATTTTCTATAAGCATTTTATAATATCTATCTTTTCATAGTATATTTTAAACATGCGCGTTGCTACAAATATGTCAAAACGCCCGGGCGTACACATGAATTGAGGAGAAAAACATAATTCAATCTAGATAAATTAAATGAACTGGTTTAACGCACACGAGTCTGGTAATTCTTTCTTCAATGACGTTTAATTAAAGATAAAAGTGACAAAATTTACTTTTTAATCAAATGGTTTCATATTATATATTTGTCTATTTTCTGTCAAAGTCTGAATCTATTGTGATTTCTACTCAGTTTCCTATTGTCTAAAACAATTCATTATCTACTGAGATACGATGTGTGATTTGCAATTTAGTCTAGCCTGCGATATTTATGTCGCCAAAACGAGACAAAGCGATCCTAGATTTCGTCGGCGTCGGCGTTCGTTTAGGTTCAGTCTGTGGCTGAAGTTTTTTTAATAAATCAATAACTTTGTCAAACTTTCATGGAATTTTATGGAAGTTGGACAAAAGCTTTTTATGGCCAAATTAATGACAGTATTCAGAGCAAAATATTTAAGATATTTCTTTTTATTTTACTGATAAATGGACTTAGCTTTAACCGATAATATTTAGATACTGTCTAAGGTTACATTTTTTCAGACATCAATAACTTTGTCAAACATTCACACGTTTTTTTTTATGATCAAAAGTCACTATCCAGAGTATAATGAAAAATATTTTTAATGTTTCCGTATTTTACTGATAAAAGGACACTGTTGTTTTGTAGATACAGTCCGAGGTTAAAGTTTGTTTCAGAATTTTACTGACTTATTTGTTTTGCAATTAACAGATGGTCTGGGATTAACTTTTTTGGCATGATAAATTTGTAAACCTTCAACGATTTTTTATGAAACTTGGAAATTGGCTAATCTTCAAGTTAAAGAAAAAGCATCTAAGAAAAATTTTTTTTTTCTTAAATCCTGTATTTGACTGATAAATTGGTTTACATTTTACAGTCAACATTACACTTTTACACTGATATCAGCAATCCCAGATGAGACACAGGGTTCCACGGAACTCTGCGAATTTTTATGTTACACTGTGCATCTATGAAAATCAATTATTTCATGTGTCCATTAACGCAGTTTGCGCATAAAAAAATGCGAGAATTAAGATGAAGTCAAAGTAATTAATAGAACGACCACATTGAAATGGAGACTTGCTTTTTTACTATCTCTTCAATTTTGGTTTTTTTGTCGTTTTATTGTTTTACCCTACATCTTCATTTTAACATATTTTACGGTAACTGGTTTGGACATTTTTCTCTTAAACCAATGATCGTTAGATTCTAAATTAACACAGTGACAATAAATAAATTAGACATAAAAATAAACAAAAAAGTTATGTTGCTATTGATGAGTTTTTAATGACAGAAATGGTATCTCTTTCTCGATAACGCGTGAGCTTCCGGGGGCTTTGCCCCCCTCGAACCTCCAACCAGGAGGTCCTCTGTCCTTTACCCACTGAGGACTGATGGATGGATGGATGGCTGCTTAACATCCAGCTGCAAATTACTATGCATATTCAGGACGAGAACATGTTAATGTAATATGAATGTTAATAAAATTGAGAACGGAAATGGGGAATGTGTCAAAGAGACAACAACCCGTCCAAAGAGCAGAAAACAGCCCAAGTCCACCAATGGGTCTTCAACACAGCGATAAAATCCAGTACCCGGAGGCGGGCTTCAGCTGGCCTGTAAACAACAATGTGTACTAGTTTACTAAAACCCCTGCTTTGTACAAAAAAATGTACTAGACCGACACGCTGTGCCGAATTTTTAACATGCTAGTTCACAAGGTAACAGTCTGCAGAAAGACATGTCACCTTACCCAGACACATTATTCACACTCCGAGCCGACCAGTCTTTGCTCTTACTCCTTAATGCCGCGTGCTTAGCGGAGAAGCAGCACATGCCAATTTTAAAGTCTTTGGTTTGAACCCACGACCTTTTGCGCTCGAGGCGAACACGCTACCACGAGACCACCGAGGCGGTCCCATAATTTGACAATTGTCTTGGGATACAATAGTTTGCAAAAAACAGTTCCGCATTGAGGATGTATTTATGTGTAAAAGTTGTGAAGCATAAATTTTTATCCGGTAATAAAACATTTGAAAAAAAAGCAATATGATATAAAATTATAATTTAAATTTAAGACTTCATTTCTGATGCAAAGTGAATTTTAGTTTGACGACTCCATGAATAGCTAACATTACAACGTAATTGTAAATGGTTAATGCAACCATCTCTCCTATGTAATTCGAAAAACAACTTTACTTTGTGGTTTGATATCCGCATTAATGAATTAACACAGAAGACAACAATAGTTTGCAAAAAACAGTTCCGCATTGAGGATGTATTTATGTGTAAAAGTTGTGAAGCATAAATTTTTATCCGGTAATAAAACATTTGAAAAAAAAGCAATATGATATAAAATTATAATTTAAATTTAAGACTTCATTTCTGATGCAAAGTGAATTTTAGTTTGACGACTCCATGAATAGCTAACATTACAACGTAATTGTAAATGGTTAATGCAACCATCTCTCCTATGTAATTCGAAAAACAACTTTACTTTGTGGTTTGATATCCGCATTAATGAATTAACACAGAAGACAACACAAAAATTAAGTTACATAATGGTAAGAAGTATATAAAAAAGAGAGATGTGGTATGATTGCCAATGGGAACTATCAACCAGAGTTCAAATGAAGTAAATGTAAGCAATTATAGCCAACCGTACGGCCTTCTCAACAATGAGAAAAACCCATACCGTATTGTCTGCTATAAAAGCCCCCACCCCGACAATAAAACTCACGGCCGAATTTATAACCAAAAAAATTTACAAAAAAACACATATGACAGACACGAACCAATGACAACCCCTGAAATACAAGCTCCAGAGTTGGGACAAGGCACATATAGAACGTGCCATGGTTAACCAAGTTTGTGAGCGCTCAACCCTCCCCCTAACCTGGGACAGTGGTGTAACAGTAAAACATAAAAACAAGCTATAAAAATCACTTGCAATTGGCTGAACTCAAAAAATCGGTACGAGGAAAAAAGTATAACAAAAATACAGAACTCCAAGGTAAACCCAAAGGTAATTCCAAGGTAAATTATAAACAGGAGGAAGTTCATAAAAACTGACAAAATCAAACGTTATCAATTAACGGAACGAGTGAATATATTCACACAAATGCGGAGAAGTTGATTCTACATGCAGACTTGTTACTACCATACCATATCATTCTATCAATTTTTAACCATTCAAAATTACGAACCTGAATAAAAAACATCTTAGGCTTATCTTGTAATTCCACGACTCCAGCGACTTTTTCAATTATACTTTTCGTTGTCACCGTATCTTCATCAACCCCATATAAACAATGGTCTCTGTAATACACTCTAGTAGGCGGCAGGGAATTCACAGGTCTTGGGTTTTCGTTACCATGGCTTCCAATAATAAACGCAAAACAATCTGAATTTCGATGGAATTGTGTCTGTTCGCAGGCTATGAAACAAGCATACATTTTGTTTCTTTAGGATTATTTTCTAGCAGAAATTTAGGGAATTATAAATTATATTCAACTTCGTCGTACATAAAACTGTGAATCTTTGAAAGTATCATTGTTTGTTGAGTTTTTATACAAATGGAATAATCTGAGAGCTGTGAACAGATTTGGATGATTAAAATCGTACAGTACACTATCATCATGGATGATTAGCTCTACAATAATAATACTTGTGTTTCCGCTAGCATGTTGTAAAAAGAAGGGTCGGTAGGAAGGTAAATACTTTTTTTCAAAATTGTTTTGACTAGTTTAAACATGGGAAACAGACTAGACTGACTCTTTTCAAAAATGACAAAACAATTTTTAAGAGAGATAGCGTTAGCGGAAACATATGAGTCTTATTACTGATTTAAAACATACAGAGTGCAGACACATCTGTTTTACAGTATGCGCTTGTGATTTGAAACATTCTATATTAGTAATGGCGCTTATGATTTAGAACCTTATTGTGAACTTGTTAATTGATGAAAGTCGTATGACGACCTAAGGATCTTTGGCTGATTTATATCTTTGGGTTTCCGTCTCATTGACGTTCAACCAACATCTTCATTCAATCATACTGGAAAACAGTAGAAGGTTTAGTACTGAAGAAATATACTCTAAATGTTGATGTGTCTGACAGGAACGCGGTTATTGTTTGCTACAACGTATATCTTGAAGACTATCAGAGATTTTCATAATTTCTCGGCATTCAGGACTTCACTTATGTTTTGGTCTGTAAAATAAATGTGCTGATGGCAGCTTTGTGGTAGTTGCAAATAAGTTTCCGCACTTTGTTTAGACCCCAGACGATTAAAAACTTGACATATGATTTTTCTTGGTTGTAATTGATGACTTTGTGTATAAAATCTCTGGGTTTGTTTATATATGCATCTAATGGTTGACCAATAGACTATTATTATTACGTCGTTTTGGTTTTTATTGAACATTAGATTGATACATTATTGACGTTCATCCTAATTGTCTGATGATCATACTTGACATATGATTACTCTTGGTTGTAATTGATGACTGTGTATAAAATCTCTGGGTTTGTTTATATATGTATCTAATGGTTGACCAATAGACTATTATTATTACGTCGTTTTGGTTTTTATTGAACATTAGATTGCTACATTATTGACGTTCATCCTAATTGTCTGATGATCATACTTGACATATGATTACTCTTGGTTGTAATTGATGACTTTGTGTATAAAATCTCTGGGTTTGTTTATATATGCATCTAATGGTTGACCAATAGACTATTATTATAACGTCGTTTTGGTTTTTATTGAACATTAGATTGATACATTATTGACGTTCATCCTAATTGTCTGATGATCATACCACTTTTTAACCAGGAGTCATACACATATCATCTTCTTATACCGGCTATCACTTCGGCAAATATAATAGAAATGCGTTCCCGGTTACTATTGAAAACATTATTTTTCTATCGTGTACTGGATATTTTTGTTTTTCAGTCCGATTTCCTCTGAAAACAACGTATACAGCAGATTTTGAAGCGTGTTACCTATTGCATATGCAGTACCTTTAGACGGTGTTATCAGTACATGTACAATCTATTTTAATGAATTAGGGATAGATGAGCTGTTAATTTGAAGGACCTTTTGGTTTCAGAATTTTCAATGATCATAGAAGTCTTACCTATATCTACAACCCAATTAATCTGTTGTGCAGTCAAATCCTTAAAGGTTACAACTGTAAAGCGAAGATGCTTTCCAAATGTTTCTTGCATCCTTTTTAGTTCATCGTCACAATACGGGCGAGGTTGTGATCTTTTGAAGGATTCATTGCTGATTATAATGGCTAATCCTCTGTAATTTTTGTCACATTCATATTCGTGTTGGTGAGAAGACACCGATTGTTTGAATTTCTCAGATGCTGATTTCAAAATGCTGAAAAATATACAAATGAATTATATCATATACTTTTTGAAAACAGAAATCCTACCCTTTAATTCTAATTCTTTTTGACAATCTATAAAGTTATAGATAAGACCATTAGAATTATAGAAATATATAAATGTCACAATTATGATATCGGCAACATTAGAGAGATTTGAAACTGATCTTTTTTTTTTTTTTTTGCAGTATAATTTGTTCCTATAGCTGTGGAATATCTGATCAAACAAACGAACTAAACCCATTTGTCTGAACTTGTTTGTTTTAGCGCTTTGATCTCACTGATCATGCCTCAACCAATCTCTTATTGTCTTTGATTATACTTGATCCTTCAATTATCGATAAAATAAAAATTCAATTAAGACAGGTTTATGTTTCTTTTTGTTGGAAACTTTGTTGGAAACTTTAAAATAGTAAAATAGACTAACCAATCAAAATGACCATTGAATTAATTCCATTCTTCTTGATAAATTCCACAGAAAACTTGTGACAATATATGCAATATGTTGATCAAAAGCTAATATTATTTATTCATACCTGCCAGCAGCTATACTATTTGTGACCTATTTTTCTTAGTGGTGATTTACTTTCCATAGTGCAAGTAAAATGTCGATCTACAGAGATAAAAATCTCTGACCAGAATGTTATGGTTGAGATACAATTTCTGTGAACATACTTATGATATACAAGTTAAAAGAAGAGGCGGAAGATACCAAAGGCATATTCAAACTCTTAAATCGAAAACAAACTGATAATGCTATGACAAAAAAGCGAATAACGACGAGAAGACAAACAACAGTACACAAAACACAACATAGAAAACTAAAGACTGAGTAACACGAACCAAAAAACTGGGGGAGATCTCAGGTGCTCAAGAAGGGTAAGCAGGTCCTGCTCCACATGTTGCACCCTTCCTGTTGATTATGAAGTACAAACCCGGTGATAAGTCTAATTCGGTAGGTCACATTCAATGAAAAGAGGACAGGTATGCAGTTATGACAATGAAATTGTCCGTCGTCCTCTGTGAAACAGATATTCCATAACCGTTACGGTCAACCACCTCGTTATGGTGTCCGTAAAATTTTTGAAGGGATGATTTCAACTTCACCACTAGTAACTCTTGGTTCAATAGCTTCCTTGTATGCAGCAATCCTCTAACAAGGAAATTGTGATCGGAAATGCAAACTTTTGAGTATCGTATCGTATCAACTGGGAGATATATACTAGTTCTCCATATCCAGGCGCTGCTGGAATGATGCTACGTAGAAATGGAAATAAAATTGAGAATGGAAATGGGGAATATGTCAAAGAGACAACAACCCGACCAACGAGCAGACAACAACCGAAGACCACCAATGGGTCTTCAACGCAGCGAGAAAATCCCGCACCCGGAGGTGGTCCTCAGCTGGCCCCTAAATAAAATTGTGTACTAGTTCAGTGAAAATGGACGTCACACTAAACTACAAAACATATAAATGAACTAAAATTAAAAAAACATACAAGACTAACAAAAGCCAGAGGCTCCTGACTTGGGACAGGCGCAAAAATGCGACGGGGTTAAACATGGATCACAATTGGGAAGCTGAAATCATCTTTTTTGTTGTGAAGTTTTGTTCCAAACAGACCCTTATTGTCAATTTCTAAATGTAAGTCAAGATATGAAGCAGACTTAACTGTACCTCATGCGCGTAGCTACAATTACGTCAAAACGACCAGGCTTACACACGAATTGAGGAGAAAAAATTAATTCAATCTAGATAAATTAAATGAACTGGTTTAAAGCACACGAATCTGGTAATTCTTTCTTCAATGACGTTTAATTAAAGATAAAAGTGACAAAATTTACTTTTTAATCAAATGGTATCATATTATATATTTGTTTATTTTCTGTCAAAGTCTGAATCTACTGTGATTTCTACTCAGTTTCCTATTGTCTAAAACAATTCATTATCTGCTTAGATACGATGTGTGATTTGCAATTTTAATTAGTCTAGCCTGCGATATTTATGTGGCGAAAACGAGACAGAGGGATCCTAGATTCCGTCGGCGTCGGCGTTCGTTTAGGTTCAGTCTGTGGCTGAAGTTTTTTTTTAATAAATCAATAACTTTGTCAATCTTTCATGGAATTTTACGGAAGTTGGACAGAAGCTTTAATTTTTATGACCAAATTAATGACAGTATTCAGAGAAAGATTTTTAAGATATTTCTTTTTATTTTACTGATAAATGGACTTTGCTTTTTTTAACCGATAATATTTAGAAACAGTCTAAGGTTACATTTTTTCAGACATCAATAACTTTGTCAAACCTTCACACGTTTTTTTTTTATGATCAAAATTCACTATCCAGAGTATAATGAAAAATATTTTTAATGTTTCCGTATTTTTCTGATAAAAGGACTCTGTTGTTTTGTAGATACAGTCCGAGGTTAAAGTTTGTTACACAAAAAAAATGTTTTTTTTTTTTTCATTTTTCAGAATTTTACTGACTTATTTGTTTTGCAATTAACAGATGGTCTAGGATTATTTTTTTTGACATGATAAATTTGTAAACCTTCAAAGATTTTTTTATGAAACTTGGAAATAAGCTAATCTTCAAGTTAAAGAAAAGGCATTTAAAAAATGATTTTTTTTCTTAAATCCTGTAATGACTGATAAATTGATTCACATTTTACAGTCAACAACATTACACTTTTACACTGACATCAGCAATCCCAGGTTAGACAAGATTTCCACGGAACTCTTTACGAACTTTTATGTTACACTATGGATCTATGAAAATCAATTATTGCATGTGTCCATTACCAAAGTTTGCGCATAAAATGTCGAGAGTTAAGATGAAGATAAAGTAATTAATAGAACGACCACATTGAAATGGAGACTTGCTTTTTTACTATCTCTTAAGTTTTGGATTTTTTTGTCGTTTTATTGTTTTACCCTACATCTCCATTTTAACAAATTTTACGGTAACTGGTTTGGAAATTTTTCTTTTAAACCAATGATCGTTAGATTCTAAATTAACACAGTGACAATAAATAAATTAGACATAAAAATAAACAAATCGGACTCTAAGTTATGTTGCTATTGATGAGTTTTTTAATGACAGATATGGTATCTCTTTCTCGATAACGCGTGAGCTTCCGGGGGCTTTGCCCCCCTTGAACCTCCAACCAGGAAGTCCTCTGTCCTTGACCCACTGAGGACCCACAGGCCCCCGCCGAGGTTCGGGCGTACACTTAAAAATGGCCTAGCACCGCCACTGTATCTGTTGTGTCCTTTATATCAAGTTCGATGGGTAAATGCGTTCAACGTAGTCACCAAACTTTGAAATATTTAGTGAGAGGACATCATCTATAAAGCGGAACGTGAAGTTATAGGATAATGCTAGCTTCTTTTCATTCTTCCTAAAAAGAACCTTTCCATAAGCCGCAGTATCATAGATCAATCTCAGCTATAGTTTTTGTGTTTTCTTTTTTTAATCTGTAGAGAAAACGATAGTTTTATATTTTTTACCAAAAGTATTTACTTAGATTTTTTTTTTATTTTCGGATACTTTTATTTGAGTTACAGTTCCAGTTGCATTATCATGAATATTATATCTAAATGTGACCTAACAGGGAATTGGCTCCGTTCGGAGGGTCACGAATAAAGTATTGCGAAAGGAAAATGTAACATTATATAACTTGTGACAAGTTCTAGCTTTCTAAAAACCTTTGGAGTGCTTCGTAGTATCATACTTTTAAGCAAGATGTTGTCTATGTGATTGTTTATGTATGAAATATTTTGTGCATATACTCATAAGTGTGGTATTATAAGCCCGTCATAGATGGGAACTTTAATATGTCCATGAAAACTTCCTACAATTAATCAAAAATAAAAAAATAAACGAACATCAGGATTGATAGAAAGAAGTTTCCTCTTGATTGTAAAATTCTTTGGTGGCTTCATTCCAGAGGTACCGTTTGATTATGAAAATCTATGATTTGTCATTCCACTGTTATAGGAAACTTGACGGATGTCATGCACTAGATCAAGTATGATAGGATCAATTTAACCTATTTTACACTTTTTTTTGTATAGGCGCGCTTTGGAATTGTAAAATCTATGGTTTATCGTTCGAGTTGTGGGACTTTTAACATTCATTTTTTACGCATATGGATAAATTCTATATGTGTTTTATCAATATGAATTTGACTGGACGTTGCATTAGCAATTAAGTAAAGGCGAAATTATGCATTGATCGGGTATCGGAACGGATCTTGAATACCCTTGTTATAATTTTGTCCGTATTCAATATCTTCTCCTGTCCGGGACATGTTCCCAATTCGCTATCTCTTTCTTGCCAATAGAATCTTTCCCTCAATGAGAACCGATATTTGTTACGTAATAATTTCAAAATGGCGTGAATATCGTATGAAACTAATAGCACCGTGATGCGAAGCAATAATCTAACAAATTGTTCATTCGACGAAGGAGGTTATTTGGATCTCTTTGACTAAACTGACATGTATGCGATACCGTTAATTCTGACTGAGTTTTTTTAATCTCTGCAAGGAATCAAATTGTTTCTGTCAGGTACAAACAAATTAGTTTGTACTCTCGACTTTGTCATCACCAAAAGTACACAGGGGAAGGAAATTCATGAATTAATGTTTAAAATTAACTATGTTCCGAGGGTTACACCTAAAATGTTGACGTTAAATATTTGTGTGTTGGTTTTTTCCTAATTTTTTTTACCTGGAAAATTTTTTTTCCAAATCTTCTTTGCTTCGGGTTCTTCCTGAAATGCAAAACATTCCTTGCATTACAACAAGTAAAATTACATACTAATCGCATTTTATTATTCTGAATATCCTAATTTAGGCAAGAGCCAAACAAGTGGTAAAACGATGTTTAGTTTTTATATCAAACGTATTTGTTAACTTCAATAACTATTTTACATGTATATTTTTTTAAATGTGATTTCATTGAAGAGGCTGATATATGTTTTAACTCCGCCATATGTTAATACGCTTTAACAACTTCACGAGCCTCGTCAATTGTTATCTTTTATCAAAATATATTTTTTTGATCCCATGTGGAAATTGGTGTTTATGGCAGAGTTTTATATTGAGGGCTTGAAATATAGTATATACAATATGTTGAAGGCCATATGTTAATTGATCTTTAAGTGTATTTTTTTCACTCGAGGGATTGCTGTCTCGTTGATATAACTGCATATATATATTTTTTTCTATTTTCTTTTTATCATTGTATTCTAACAACTTGCTCCTTGAGAGACCCCCAATTTCTTAAAACATGCTCGACTGTCTGGTGATAATAAATCTTCTTCAGTGGGTATAGTAAGTTGAATATATTATGTTGTTTAACCGAATGACCCCAGTTTCTATACTCACTTCACCTCTAGGAGAGTGTTTGAAGGGTAGATTTCTGATTCGTTTGACTTTCATATCATGCATATATAAAATGTCTATGCACATCATAATTTTGTATATAACTTACCGCCTCGGTGGTCTCGTGGTATCGAGAACGGGAGGTCGTGGGATCGAACCCCGGCCGGGTCAAACCAACGACATTAAAATTGGTATTTGCTGCTTCTCCGCTTAAGCACGCGGCATTAAGGAGTAAGAGCAAAGACTGGTCGGCTCGGAGTCAGAATGATGTGTCCGGGTAAGGTGACATGTCTTCCTGCGGACTGTTACCTTGTGAACTTGCACGTTAAAAATCTGGCTCAATGTGTTGGTGTAGTAAAAAGCAGGGTTAATATACATATTACATTAACATGTTCTCGTCCTGAATATGCATATTAATTTCCCGCTGGACGTTAAGCAGCCATCCATCATCATCATCTGTATATAACAATGTTCAGTACGAATTCATGAAACATCCAATTTGATTTGTGTCGATATAATACTTTAGGGTTTGCTATACATTTGTATGTCAGGATAAAAATACGAACTCCGAGACGGAGAGTTGACTTTAACGGGTACTCTCTTTTTAAAGACTTTCATACAATGAAAGTTAAAGGCAAAGCGCCTTTGAAACTAGTTTAAACTACCGCTTTCTTATTGAAACTGCACGTTCATAATCAGGAATTTATTTTTTATCAGAAGGGTTACATCAAAAAGCTAATTCAAATAAATGTGACCTTTAGAGGGAAATAAATTTTAGTTGTTCTTTCTTTCGGTATACGTGGGTAAAACGTAACAGTAAAAATTACCCTACCTTGTACCTTTCCTATGTATGTGTGTGTCGCCATTTCAAGGAAGAAAAAGTTAGAATTCACAATATATTACAAATACATTCCTTCATACCTAGCGGAAAATATCTCAAGTAATTGTTTCCGTTTATCGATTATTTGTATTCATAGCATAACGGCATACGGTGTGATTTTTACTTTTTTTTTAAATAAAATTCTGGGCTGATATGCATAAAACTATTTAAGTTAAGATTAATACCGAACGGACGGATTTTTCTATATGTCCTATAATAAATTAGTACTACGATTGGATATCTTAACTTAAGTGGTTTAATGCATATCAGCCCAGATGAATAATCAGTCGCAAAAAGAATACATGATTGTGGCCGTGAAAAACGCAACTTTTTAACAGTATATTGTTCTTTGTTAACGAACTATGTATGCTTAGGAGACTTTCTAATATGTTTAAGTTTTAATTATTTTAGTGTATGGATAAAAAGGCATTATATATAGGGGTATACGCCAGTGAGACCTTGATACAACGTCCTTGAATTTAATTTGTTACACAGCAACATAGATAGGCTAATTAGCCACTTAGACTTTAATTTATACACCAGGCTTGGAATTGACATCAGGGGCGGATCCAGTCATTTTTAAAAGGGGGTTCCCAACCCAGGATGAAAAGGAGGGGGGGGGGGGGGTTCCAACTATATGTCCCCATTCAAATGCATTAATCGTCCAAAAAAGGGGATTCCAACCCCCGGAACTCCCCCCCCCCCTGATCCGCCACTGAACATCGTCTTTCAGATGATAAAGAAAAGCCAAAGAAACTGATAGATGCTGTTCAAACTTTTATTAGCATTAACAAAGTTATATCCTGCTTGCAAAGAAACGATCTTTCAAATACCTCCGTACTCAATCATTAACTTAAATAAAAGTAGAGTCATATAAACTTTCAAGTCTTAAACATCAAGGAACACGATTTATTAACCAAAATTTACGATATAAATAGTAAAATCAGACAAATTACATGGTCAATAAATACTCTATCCCAAATTACATGGTCAATAAATACTCTATCCCTAATTACATGTTCAATAAATACTCTATCCCAAATTACATGGTCAATAAATACTCTATCCCAAATTACATGGTCAATAGATACTCTATCCCAAATTTTGCAGTTACTATTAGTCATCAGAACAGCATTAAAACATCCAAGTCCAAGAACGCACAGTTGCCTCTTAACTTGGATATAGGCATGATTCACCTTATTACAAAGCTTGGAAGAGTTTGGTGAAAGAAGGTAGCGGTGTAGTTTCAGAAAGACTGTTGAGGGTAGTTACAAGTCAACGATGAGAGTTTTCACGAGTTTCTCACTGTATCTGACTCATACATATTTTCTTTGCTTAAAGTGACTTATCTTGGTTGTATAATGTATTCTGTGAACTTTAGTGAAAGAGCTTTCGAACGATTGGAGTATTAAAGTCGTAACAGCTCTGTTGCTCTTTCCAACGATTGGGTTATTAACGTCGTAATAGCTCTGTTAAGCTTTCCAACGATTGGAGTATTAACGTCGTAACTGCTCTGTTGAGCTTTCCAACGACTTGCAAATTAGCGTCGTAACAGCTCTGTTGCTCGATTTCAAACCTGTTTATATGACTCTTAATAACCAATGGATAGTAGTATATCAGTAGTCAGTAGGATAACATGGAATCACATTTACACTATCGTATACTATAAATATTAAAAAAATCAAACTGAAAAAGGAATACAATTTCATAGAACTGTACGAGTGGGAGCTTTAATGATAACAGTGAAGCTAGATGGTATTACATTTGATCTTATTTCCTATGCATGTGAGATATATTCAATCTGCAAATAGCTTTTACAATGTTAAAAAAATGTGTCTGTTGATAAACATGGCGATACTTCTCAAAGAACATATACAACCAGAGAGAACGAGACTGTCAACTTTACAATGTACCTTTACATGACAAATTGGTCAGTGTTAGTGCATGTTAATTATGCCACTAATTTCATTAACAAAGAACTAACAAATATATGAAATCGCAAGTCAAACCGCAGTAATTGGTGAACTATTGATATAAGGGAAACAATTTAAATTCTAGCCAATTAAACTATATGTTTTCCAGCACTCGAGTAAACATCATATGATGAAGACATAATCTTTCAATCAGTTTGATTGAGTTCTGGAGCTGGCATGTAACTGCTAGTAGTCCTTTGTTAATTCATGTATCATTGTCATTTTGCTTAGCTTCTTTTGTTACCTATTCTGACATCGGAGTCGGACTTCTTTTTAACTGAGTTTTACTGTGCGTATTGCTGTGGTTTGTTTATTCTGCATTGGCTAGAGGTATAGGGGAGGGTTGAGATCTCACAAAACGTGTTTAACCCCGCCGCATTTTTGCGCCTGTCCCAAGTCAGGAGCCTCTGGCCTTTGTTAGTCTTGTATGTTTTTTTTTATTTAATATAAAAAAGAAGATGTGGTATGATTGCTAATGAGACAACTCTCCACAAGAGACCAAATGACACAGAAATTAACAACTATAGGTTACCGTACGGCATTCAACAATGAGCAAAGCCCATACCGCACAGTCAGCTATAAAAGGCCCCGAAATGACAATGTAAAACAATTCAAACGAGAAAACTAACGGCCTAATTTATGTACAAAAAATGAACGAATAACAAATATGTAACACATAAACAAACGACAACCACTGAATTACAGGCTCCTGACTTGGGACAGGCACATACATACAGAATGTGGCGGGGTTAAACATGTTAGCGGGATCCCAACCCTCCCCTAACCTGGAACAGTGGTGTAACAGTACAACATAAGAACGAACTATACAAATCAGTTGAAAGAGGCTTAACTCATCAGATGGATAAAAATACAAATACTACAAATACAAGTGGACGTGGCGGGGTACTTGCACATCCAAACAACAAAAAGACACTAAGTACAGATCTGAGAGTTCATCATATGTTTTGAAGTTTAGTGTGTCGTCTATTTTCATTGAACTAGTACACATTTTTGTTTAGGGGCCAGCTGAAGCCCTCCTCTGGGTGCGGGATTTTCTAGCTGTGTTGAAGACCCATTGGTGGCCTTCGGCTGTTTTTTGCCTCTTTGGTCGGGTTGTTGTCTCTTTGACACACTCCCCATTTCCATTCTCAATTTTATCATAATGTTCACGATCACATGGACACAAGTTTAGTTGAGAAATGACACAAGTGTAAAAGCAGTTGTCGAAGTAGAGATTTGTATTGCAAAAACAAACATTAGGTGCATTTTAAGTGTGAAAAACTCTCTGAATTTGGTTTAAAACAACTTAATAAAAACAGTGTAACTCTATATATAAATGCTAACATTGCAGTTTTTGTATGTATAAATGGAAATGTTTTTGTTTTATGATTTTGTATTGAATTTTGTTTGTACTGTGAAGTTTATGACTTTCAACTGAACTCAACTCATATAGATCATGTAGATAGGGCTACCATCAGCCACTCTCACTGTAAAAAAAAAGACCAACACTGACGAAAGTTGGGTAGAAATATTTTTCTTTCTTTAAACTGTATCTTGTTTTTAATATATATCTCTTGTCGGTATCGTTGCATATTTTTTTACAAAGACGTGTATATTTTTTATCCTTTTGGTGTAGCCTCACACCCTCTTTTATATTATCTTTCATAAATCCCGTATTTCCTTATCTGAAAATGGACACAGTTTGTGTTGGGATTGACTTTTCTATCTTCAACGTATAAATAACTGCAAACTTAAGTCTTCAAATAATCTTACTGGAAACTTGACGATACATGGCGATACTGCAAACATAAATACTATTGATTCCAATTAATGTCTAAATAATTAATCTATGCTGTTATAAAAATATAGCTCTTTGTGTAAACAGTGTTCAAACACTATTGTAGCTTTACGTTTTGGGTTAACGGTTCCTTCAGGAAACTTTGTCTGAAAAGTCTCTGAATTTGAAACTTCTCTAGCCATTAAGATTACAACATCCAATATATCGATTCGATTTGTTTTCTTTTGAAAGCTAAGTTGCTCTTTCACCGCTTTATGCAGAGAAATGAGCATCCAACCACCGTGATCTTCTCTACCGTACGATTCTTTTTCTGAAATATTTCATGGTAAAATTAATGATCCATTAAAACACTAAGATAGGTAAATATCATTTAAAAGCCGAAGCATGAGTATTGCTATTTTGTTCTGTCAAATGATAATATACAGGTTAATCCAGTTGATATAATGATACAATGATATTGTGTAAACTAATATATACAAATATATAATATATTTTTTTCAAAAACAGAGGCATGAAAACTCTAGCAATATAAATACATCTTGACCACGTTACAAAATGCTGTTTAAATACAATTGAACAATTTAATGTCAGTTTACCTAATACAGAGTACAAAAATTTACTTGCCCCAAGTCAGCAACAAATTTTTATCAATCCATCCATTCATTAATATCAAAGGGTCATCCAAGGTTTTGGCAGTAACTGTGGACATCTAAATATTTATTGTAAATTTTATAAATTTGCAATTTCATATTTTTAATTACCAAATGCATTCATCATATTTTTCAAGCAGAAACGGAAGGATTTAATGTTATTATTTACATAAACATAGCTGATAAATCAATTATATTTTTTGATCTGTTGAACTATGTATGTTACCTGAAGCTGATGAATAAACCACTAAAACATCATCAGCACACGGTGGGTATAGAACACGCATCATATCCTTGGGTTTATCTGTGTTCCAACCAATCATTTCACCCAGTTTATGGAGGATCTTTGCTTCTGCAATGTCCTCTTTTTGAGACAGGTTTCCAGTTGTAACACTGGCACAAGATTTGATTTTTGTCGGAAACAAAGAGTTTGAGAGTCTATTTACTTTGTCTGCATGATCTGAAACACTGTTGGAACTATTTTCTTGTACAGCAATATGAATGGGTATTGCATGTCCTTGGTCGATACAAGATTTATTCGCTGTTTTATCCATCTTTATCCGACACGCCTACAAAATACCAACATTTATGCATAGTCAAGAAATGCGAATACTGCTGTTAAAGTACTACACCTTTCTATTTTTAGAACTATAGACACAATGAATTAGCCTGTGAGATCAGGCTAAAATTTTAACGGAAGATGTCTTTATATTTTTTGTTTGATAATCAACGGGTTTGGTTGTCTGCAATATTTTTCAAAAAATGTCTTCAAGATAACGATGAAAATACCAACCTGGATGAAGAGCATCTTAGGTTTATCTTGCAAGGCTTCAGTATCTGTGATTGTTTCTATTATATTTTGTGTTGTCACTGTATCTTCATCAACCCCATATATACAATGATCTCTGTAATACATCCCAGATGGCGGTGTTTTCACAGTTCTTGGTTTTTCATTACCATGGCTTGCAAGAACACATGCAAAGCAATCCGATTGTTGATGAAATTCAGTTAGTTCGCAGGCTGATAAAAACAAACAAATAAATAATGTAGAGATTTAATTTTTCCTCTCTTCCTTGTACACATTGTTAGTTTTTAACTTGTTAGTTGTATAAAGAAAGTATGCATATTAGCTTTTATCTTTTCTATTGCTAGTCATTCATCATTATCTCCTTTTTCGTCCGCATTATTTTTTAATATATAAAGTTTTATATTCTTATTTCAGACACCATAATGTCTGGTCTACAACAATCCATTTACCGAGAATGAGCGGTTAATATTGCAATATTATCGAGGATGAGCGGTTAATACTGCTATATTATCGAGAATTAGCGGTTAATACTGCAATATTATCGAGAATGAGCGGTTAATACTGCGATATTACTATCTTTATTTGAAGTGTTGTGGATATAATTTGAAGATTCATTCTTGAATTTTCGAATTTTGTATTTTAAGGATATCTAAATTTTGATGGAAACCCAGCATGAAAAAACTTTAAACCAGAAACAAACAAAACAACATTTTCACAGCATCATTATTCTTTGAGTTATAACATTTTTATGAAAGTCTTAAAGTTAAATGAACATATGATAGAGAATTTCAATGTGCCTGCAAAGTTCAAATTGTCTTACTTACCTATTCTCACAACCCAATTTATTTGTTTTGCTGTCAAATCTTTGAAAGTTAAAACTGTGAACTGTAGACACTTCCCAAATGTTTCTTGCATCAATTTTATTTCGTCATCACAGTAAATCCGTTGGCGAGATATTTTAAAATTTTCGTTGCTTATTATTAAAGCTAAGCCCCTGTAACTTTTGCTGCATTCATATTCATTTTCATCAGATGGTATCGTAGGTTTTGATTTGGAAGATGCTGATTTAAGGACGCTAAAATATAATTTTGTGCTTTTAATGAAGATATAATAAGTTAATATTATATGACGATTTTTAATGTAAGCGATTCGTGTTTCTAGATCCACCTTCAAAAGGTATATACGACACTAAAAGTTTGTGAAGTAAAAAAAAAGACATAAAATGTTAAACCAGGTTTAATCCACCATTTTCTACATAAGGAAGTCGAAAATGACAGTTTTTTTCCATTCGTTTGATGTGTTTGAGCTTTTGATTTTGCCATTTGATAAGGGACTTTCCGATTTGAATTTTCTCTGGAGTTCGGTATTTCTGTTATTTTACCTGTTAAGCATCAAAAAATTCAAAACCAAAAAAACAGCTCAAATCAATTTTGTCCTTTAGTTGCAGTGTAATAATATAATTCATACACTGAAATTCTACAGTCAAATTAATCAAGAAACAATGACAAGACAACGCAGAAGCTAGGCGGGTGTACCTCAAAATATTGAAAAATATTTATGTCTCTATCAAAAGATGAAGTCATTGATTTAAATGATAGAACCAGGTATTTTTTATTGGTCAACGTCTAGTTGCAAATTTTAAATTATGGTCATAAGAGGTAAAGACGAGAATTGTTTTTTTAATGATTCATTCTGTTAAGTGACGTTTTGAGAAATTACCTCAAGAAATAGAAGAACGTATTGGGGAGGACACATATATTTGATTCATAAAAGACAGCTTACTGAAGAAGAGCTATTGCAAAACTTCATTGTTAACTATCAGACACTATGATACTCACTTAAAACGTCGTTTCAAATCTGATGGCCCGAGAAACTTGAATGAATTACATCAATAAATTGAGACAAAAAAAATCAACTGTACTGCATATAATTTTAACTCTGATGTTTTAAAATGTGTTATCATTACAAATAATTTCTTGATTTACTTGGGATTTTGTTCAAAATTTGAAATGTTAATCTATAATGAATAGTATGATACATGCTTTCAAAATTACACCACATTTGGAGATTCCTTATATCATTTCCTTGAAAACCCATCCTTGTATTGGAACATTCGCTGATTGGGACATTAAAAACTGTTGCCATTGAAAACACTTTGTTAATGCATTTGCATTGGGCTAAACAATGGTAGTAACTTATTAAAAAGAAAAACAACTTAATATACAAAGTCAGACAAAACGGAAAAGTTTTTTTTTCAGATAAAAATGGCTCGCCCTTAGCTTAGATATATCTCTTTAATGACGTACGTTTTGATATTTTGTTTGTGTATAGATTTCAGAAGATGTTATTTGGTAATAAGTGGCATTCCCCTTGTTTACCCTAAAAGTCATCAAAGACGCCAAGCCGATAATTCAGTTCGCCAGATGCTCGATTCGTCTACAAGGTGCATCGGGTCATTATATTGAATGCTCAAATTGTACTGTGGGCTGTGGGTTATCGACATTTTCATTTTAATTACGACTCTTCAGTATAATTATCATTATTAATATTAAAAGAATTCAAGTAATATAAAGAACAGAAAAAAATAAGATATAAATAATGAAATAAAGATTAGCACTTAAAGTGATATTCCTTTCTGATTATTTTTTTTTTTCAAATGAAAGAAGTGATTTTGTGTCATGAAATGACCATATCCTTTTTTGAATTTGTATAAATGATCTCAGTTAAATATGACGAATGTTTGTGTTAGCTTCTAAAAATGATATATTTACCTGGCAAAAATTTCTCTCACATCTCTCTCACTTTTAACTGAAATAAAGGAATTACTTTGTAAAATATTACATGGTAATCAAAGTAAATATGCATCACCACATACATTTTTCAGGGAATTTCTCCGACGTGAAACCTTGTTAATTGGAGTCTTGGGTTATATGTAAATCCACACATTTTAAATTCTGTTATTACTGCATTAATTACATGTACTTCAGATATGGGGCATCACAAACACAATGGAACCAAACAAAAAGGCACCCCGAGCTCATTATACGGCCTTGTGGTATTTCTTTAACTGAAGTGCTCGTTTTGTATTTGTCGGAGATATATGTAAGTTAAGTACTTGAAGCTTGTTTTCAGTTACTGCGAGCATCCTTCATTTTTTGCTTGTTATTTAAAGTACCATTATCACAATGTTGAGTACTTTTTCCTATACTGACTGTTATTGAGTGTTCTTTACAGTCATATGAATAAACTTATCATAGATACCAGGCGTAAAAGTTTGTACTCCAGTCGTGCGTTTCGTCTACAAAAGACTCACTAGTGACGCTCGAATTAAAAAAAAGTTTAAAGGGCCAAATTGTTGAAGAGCATTGAGGGCCCAAAATTCGATAGGTTTTGCAAAATACAGCTTAGTTAATAAAACGAGTAACTTGTAACTTAAACGTTGAGGAAATTATTGACCCAATGCATCCATATATACTAAACCATGGAAGTATTATATTGTCAATATAATACTTCCATGACTAAACTCAGTCTTAATTCGCAACAAATATTTCATTCAGTGATTGTTAATCGAAAACATTGACTGCTTACTTTCGGGTTTTGTTGCCGATCGTGGCCTCAATAAACAATCAACAAAAAATCGTAGAGCGCGTGAAAAATAAGTGAGATCATTATTATGATAGAGCGATGTTTATTTTTCTTACTTTATATTTTCCAAGCGTTTCCATTTGCTAATTATATTTTGTCACAACAGCTGTTAAAAGAAATTGGTGTATAAAATGTTTCTTTTAGAATCAATTAATACTATCTACCTTCCAGTGCATGTTTGTTTACCTTTTCTTTCATCGCGGTTTTTTTTTCTTGCAATTGCGCTGTACGGTTGTCGAAGTTCTAACGAGAAGTCTCGTGGTTAAGGTCACTGTATACAGCAAAGCTATCGGCGATTTAGATTACGAGAAGACCATAATATAATAGCAGTACATTTTAAAAGATTTTCATAAGATAAAATAAGGAGTATATTTTACAAGAAAGTTCAAGAACACGTGTTTCATAGTACTGTATAACTTAGCCATTCAAGTATATAAAACGTATTCAACTTTATTTTTAATTTGAAGTATCAAATAACTTTAATGTACGTTTTGTTGAACTACTGATCGTGAATATAAAGAGAGAGATTTGAGATCTGTGATGTAAATAACGATTTGATCTAACGATATCTGTTAGAAACCACGCCAGTAGTAATGTTGTCGAAATGTCATATCTAACTGTTTGTCATTAAAAAAAACAAATTGGGTGTTGATGAACGATCTAAGATTGTTTCTATTTAATTTATTCGCAATTTTTTTATAGATTCGGTATTTATTAAGAGCTTGACATTTTGTATAGTCCTGTCTTCTGATGAAGACTATGTGTTTATTTGTTATTTTTTTAAGTTGGGTCGCTGTCTCTTTGACGTATACCCCACATCTCTTTTCATTTAAAAAAACGAGACAAACATTTGATACAAGTTAAAGTACAAGTTAAAGTATATATTGATGAGTTGCCCTGGAAACTGGAAATGTGATCTCTATAATTGAGTATAAATACACACTGCAACTGCTGTGATGTTATGAAGCTATGATTCATGCTGAACAAGAATACACGAGTAAACAAAATACAACATTATAGCTTTTATAATAATTTTTCATGGTTATTGTAAAGAAACGTCCATTTTTTACAGATTGATGCAAATTTATTTACATAGTTTAACAGTATTATTTTAGATTGAAGTGAACATCAGATTTTCTGTTAACATTATTGATCGACCTATATTCAGCATCATTAACAATAATGATTGTATAAAATCTAGGGAAATGTAAAATATGTTATAATACCTACCTTCCTTCCCTGTGTACACTTTTAACGCCATAACAGAGGAAAACAATACTTCACGGTATGATGGTTATGAATTCAATACACACCGGAAGATATTTTTGAAAATGTCCATATATTGGATCATTTGTATAGTTTACTGCAGGCTAAAATAAGCCCGTTGTCATTATAATTATAGTGTACAATTACATTTTTGATATTATCAAATATTTATTTACCAAATGAATTTACGTAATTGCTTGTTATCTAATGTGCAAGCAGTGCATGCTAACAAAAACAAATGACAGGCGTTTATATTTAGGATTCACACCAAAACCGTTATGACATTTAAATAAAGCAGAAGGATCAAGTTACAATTCTTCCATTCAAACATATATAATATGAATAGACTACAGATATATGTATATACATACATGTATATGTATTTGTGTGGAAATTTTTAATGAGTAAAATACAATGTGTAAGTGGTGTATATGTCATTGTTGTTGTTGAAATGTTTATTGGACCGGCCAGATTGAAGATAAATTATACCGGATACCGTCATAATTAAGTTGTCACTGGCGGCATTGCATGTATACTCGTCTGTGAATGAGCGAAGAGAGCGAGTAATATTTCAATATCTGTAGTTAACACTAAAAAATTTTCAGTTTGATTGATTAATGGTTGTTTTTTAACGTGCAGTGGCAAATATGTCATGCATGTTAAGAATGGAAACAATCTTACAATACATCGAATAGGTTTGTTCTGCAAAGTCGATCGATCAGGATAAATAGAGGACATTTCAACTGTTTCTATAAAAATGAGGTTGTGTTGGAGAGGGACAGATTTGCTACTGGAAACCGTCGCACCCTCATGCAGTTGTTCCAAGGGTTCTGAAACGCGCAGAGAGCGTCGCGCTCTCCCTACACTACGGATCCGATTTAACGTCCACACCCCGACCTGACGATCCTGCGTACTTTAACATCCCGCACAACCAAACTGGGTCAAAGGTCTAGCTTGCAGTCATATTCACAATAGTGGCCATTCATACGTTTTTACCTCAGGTTTTTACTGGTCAGAAAATGTTATATCCTCTTCCCTATGCTTCTGACATGCATAATCTGACTCGCAAACATACTGTATACCCAGTCTGTTTGTAATATTGCTGTGTGAAATCTTTGATGAAATACACCAACCCAAATAAGCGTGTTATAAGTGTAATACGCTTACTTTTCGGTACGTTCTGTGTGAAATATTATATTACTATTTAATTAACCTGTATATTGTACCACATTTAAAAACTTTATTTGTAACAGTTATACTGTTATACTGTTATTGTTAGATATAAATATTTAAACAGGTTATCAATTTTTTGGTACATTATTTTATGTGATATGATACATGTATATGATGAAAACACCTGAACATGCATATGATGCATTAATGATTAAATCGATAATTGTTTGTCAAGTACGATTAGCATAATATTTATTTATTCAGTTGTTTATAAAATTATCTTTTCATCTTTTCATCTGTTCTGTTTCTGTTTTTGTTTTGTTTTAGATTTATTTTTAGATAAATCAATTAACTGTTAAAGAGTGCAAATGTACGTACGTTCAATTCAAACATATTGCAACAGTACGATACCAGACGAATCAATAATATAATGGAAATAGATAGGCAAATCTCACCATCGTTGATTCATAACTATGAATGACTGGAGATTTGGAGGTGTATATACATCAATGAGACATCATCCCAACAACACAAATACAAGAGAAATCAAGAGGTTAGTATACAATTTCCCAAAATAAACAGATGGCTATAGGAGGCTATAGGATGTCAAGCTAAAAATCGATCATAGTCTATGTAGAACCTTTTTATGGGATGGTTGGTTTGTCTGCAGTCAACAAATCAATAATTCCATGATATATCTTTGAATCCCTTAAAATTTAAAGGACTCACAGCTTATCTCGTGTTGCGTCATTGTAGCAAAAAGAAAAACAATCGTTATATATTATATGAAAAGTATAAAGGAAATTGTATATGATATTGTTGTGTAATGCTTCCTGTATAAGTAATATAAGATAATGTATCATTTATCATAAAATTAAGTGTAAATAATATCTATACATTTATACATTTATACCTGAGTCAATTTTACTTCCGTAAAGGTAAAATGAAAACCGTTACATTCACTTGCTCGGATGGTATGTGCTTTGATCTTACTTCTGTTTTAAGACTTATGATTAAGTCGAAACGAAATGTTGTTGAACTCCCCAAATTCAAGTCAAAGTTTCCTTTCAAATATCCTTAAAGCTGTTTCTTTTCGTAATAGAGCCTATGCATCAATGGCGATGACAAAGAAAATGTAATGTAGAATTTTTAAAAAGTGTAACCTTATGCGTTAAAAAGGAGTTCATTGATTTATCTACTGTTTATTTGCTTTACTACGTAAAAGGTAACTTTTCATGGAAGCTTCGTTATCTCCGCGAAATTTGTGATTTTTAGAAATTTTTAATTCGACTTTCTATCTCGCTTTTAAAGACTTGTCAATACCAATGTTATCTTTTCTATGACATAAAATGCAAATAAATGAAGATGTTAGATAGACTTCAATGAAGATGTTAGATAGACTTGGGTGAAGATGTTTGATAGACTTCAATGAAGATGTTAGATAGACTTCAATGAAGATGTTAGATAGACTTCAATGAAAATGTTAGATAGACTTGGATAAAGATGTAAGATAGACTTGGATGAAGATGTTAGATAGACTTCAATGAAGAAGTTAGATAGACTTGGATGAAGATGTTTAGGTAGACTTGGATGAAAATGTTTGATAGACTTCGATGAAGATGTTAGATAGACTTCGATGAGGATGTTAGATAGACTACTATGAAGGTGTTTGATAGACTTCAATGAAGATGTTAGATAGACTTCAATGAAGATATAAGATAGACTTGGATGAAGATGTTTAGATAGTCTTGGATGAAGATGTAAGATAGACTTCAATGAAGATGTTAGATAGACTTCAATGAAGATGTTAGATAGACTTGGATGAAGATATTATATAGACTTCGATGAAGATGTTAGATAGACTTCGATGAAGATGTTAGATAGACTTCAATGAAGATGTTAGATAGACTTCAATGAAGATGTTAGATAGACTTTGATAAAGATGTTAGATAAACTTCAATGAAGGTGTTAGATAGATTTCAATGAAGATGTAAGATAGACTTCAATGAAGATGTTAGATAGACTTTAATGAAGATGTCAGATAGACTTCAATGAAGATGTTAGATAGACTTCAATGAAGATGTTAGATAGACTTCAAAGAAGCTGTTAGATAGACTTCAATGAGATGTTAGATAGATTTCAATGAAGATGTTAGATAGACTTCAATGAAGACGTTAGATAGACTTGGATGAAAATGTTAGATAGACCTCAATGAAGATGTTAGATGGACTTGAATGAAGATGTTAGATAGACTTCAATGAAGATGTTAGATAGACTTCAATGCAGATGTTAGATAGACTTCAATGAAGATGTTAGATAGACTTCGATAAAGATGTTAGATAGACTTCAATGAAGATGTTTAGATAGACTTCAATGAAGATGTTAAAATAGACTTCAATGAAGATGTTAGATAGACTTTAATGAAGATGTTAGACTCAATGAAGACGTTAGATAGACTTGGATGAAGATGTTAGATAGACTTCAATGAAGATGTTAGATGGACTTCAATGAAGATGTTAGATAGACTTCAATGAAGATGTTAGATAGACTTTAATGAAGATGTTAGATAGACTTCGATAAAGATGTTAGATAGACTTCAATGAAGATGTTAGATAGACTTCAATGAAGATGTTTAGATAGACTTCAATGAAGATGTTAGATAGACTTTAATGAAGATGTTAGATAGACTGCAATGCAGAGGTTAGATAGACTTCAATGAGGATGTTAGATAGACTTCAATGAAGGTGTTAGATAGACTGTAATGAAGATGTTAGATAGACTTCAATGAAGATGTTAGATAGACTTCAATGAAGATGTTTGATAGACTTCCATGAAGATGTTAGATAGACTTCAATGGAGATGTTTGATATACTTCATTGAAGATGTTAGATAGACTTCGATGAAGATGTTAAATAGACTTCAATGAAGATGTTAGATAGACTTCAATGAAGATGTTTAGATAGACTTCAATGAAGATGTTAGATAGACTTTAATGAAGATGTTAGATAGACTTCAATGCAGAGGTTAGATAGACTTCAATGAAGATGTTAGATAGACTTCAATGAAGATGTTAGATAGACTTCAATGAAGTTGTTAGATAGACTTCAATGAAGGAAAAGACTGACATCATACACAAAGCAAGCTCAAGCCTCATGATGTTTTTTATGGTCTTTAGCAAATAGACAAGTGCCAAAACAATATGTCTCGCTCTAAACCGTCCCGGTTCTAGACAAGTGCCAAAACAATATGTCTTGCTCTAAACCGTCCCGCAGCTCCTACTCAGACTTTGTAAAACGTCACCAGTGTCTGAGCAGAAAGTTGATGAACCAGGGGTATGTCAAGAACGTCTCGTCCTTTTTCTAAAAAAGTTCATAGGAAGGTACCAAGACCTTGTTGATAAATATTCCGTATCAACTTCACAAATAATACATGATGGTCTTGATGTATAGATTCTGCGTACTGACGTTGCCTATCATCTTAATAACGTGTTATATTGTTCTTTTATTTGTCTTTGTTCTATTATTAATATTACTTTTACTGTTTGGTCTGTTTTCTGTGATATCCATTTGACGTGGCTCGGTACTTATACATCCCGTCAATGTGTTTGTATTATCTTTCATTTTTGTGGTGTTTTTTGTACGTGTGACTTTATGTGTTTCTTTTGTCATTCTTTGAATGACAAAATTATTTTATATTTCTTCCTGTGTGACGTTTACATTTTCTGGCGTCAAACACACGACTCTACACTAAGAGTAGATGTGAATGCAGTCGCAGGACTTTAAATATTTCAATCCCATATGGGTTGATTTAAAATACATATATAAGTTAGCAATGAATGTGGTTGTTAAATTTGATAGATGCTTTTTGTGCTTCTTTGTTAAATGTTTGTTTGTTTTGAGATTGCGACACAGTGATGACTGCTGTACCCATATTTTGACAATGTTACCTATTATGTCTGTTTTGTTCACGCATCGTT